TATATATATATATATATAAAAAATGTATGTATGTGTGTGTATGTGTGTGTGTGTGTGTGTGTGTGTGTATATGTATTTACATTATATAGACTTTTATATTAAGTTTATTTAATAATTTACATGTATTCTAAAAGTTTGATTTTCAGCATATAAGGTTGTTGATACATAGGTGATAGAAACCTAAAATAATGTATTTGCATTGTAATACTTTATCAGAAATAAGATTAAGTATATTGAGGATTGTGTATAGTATGGATAATACTAGGCCTTTTCGTGCAAAAAAAGTAGAAAAAATTCATAATTTCTAAATTATTCTAATATTTATGTTATTTATTTCATGTGTTATTATATTTTTGATGTACCACAAACATATTTTCTTATACAGTTATTCAAACATACTAGACATAATGCATAATGTATAAACTGGGATAATACTTCTTGCACTTCTAGTGATTTTCTTAAACAATTTTTATGTGTTGTGTTTTGTTATTTGCTGACAACTTTTCAGTGATTTTTATGTGATGTTTTATAATAATGCTACTTTGTGTGTTAAATCTAGGAAAACTAGTAACAGTGATTCTGTAAAGTATAATATTTCTAAGATGGATAATAGGTGATAAAATTATGTTATTACTTTGGGGACAACTAATGCTTGTTGTTAGAATACAATGTCAAAAATGGCAATGCTAATAATGTTATATGATTACTTTTTTGCAGGTAAGGAATGCCCACCAAGGTGGAAAAGTCAACCTTAGCTGGATTGATCTAGGAGACCACTTATCTCAGCTGTTAGATAATCTTCACAATGTGAGTCTGTTTGAAGGAAAACTTTTTCCTGAAATTCCACAGTTTTCCCAAGAGAAAATTGACAGTGCTGTTCACCGTGGACTAGATTTATGGACCTCAAATAATAATTTGGGAAGAGCAAGGTAAGATGTCAAATGAACACAACTGAAAGCTTTTAAAATTGGTATAATGAGCTTTAAAAGTTTCAAGAATGCTGTCCAAATAATATATTTGCTGGTTTTATTGCTTTACATGTCACCATACAGTATTAACTCGTACTATAATTTAACTTCTGTCGTATAGCTGATAGTAATCGTAGAAATGTTTAATAGTTTGCTGATGTTATTTAATTTAACATTTCTTAAATTGAATGCTTTAAATATTGAATTTCTGTATACCAGCTTGATAATATCCCAAACAATAAATGTTATTCCTTGTGGTTATTTTATTGTTTTTTCAAATTATTTTCAAACAATATTATACTTATTGGTAATGAATATACCAGTGCTATGAAACTTGCTTTTCAGTAGGCAATACACACTACATATAGACTATATATCAATTGAATGTTATCAAACTTTTAGTTTTCAGTAAACAGTATACGTTATGTTTGTGGTAATCCATAGATAAACCTACTACACAGTTATATTATATCAACAATAACTGGAGATTTGTGGAAGGACAAGTTTAGTGACTTGTTGCTTCTGGAATGAAAGACACAAGACAAAAAGATGTGATGTTGTTTGGGTTCAAAATTTTATTTCAGATATTTGTGAAAAAAATCATATCTAACTGATACACAATAATATGATTTTATGTATGTCATAATGTCATTCTGTTCTATTATGTAATTATATATTTTTTACTTACAAAATATTTGAAAATTGATTTTGACTTTTCTTATAATTAGGCAGATACTACAACTAATTGATGTAGCAAGCCTTTTGATTAACAGTCCATATGAAAAGAATTTTCCATTATCAAGGGTAAACTTTTTGTCACCAAGAACTAGTCTAGACGTATTTGCTATTGGAAAGTTCTTAACTTGGATGGTGTCTGAGGGGACTAAAACAGTTGCAGAAATTATTGATTTGCCAAAAGGTAATGTAATTGATATTCATTTTTAGTGAAAACTCTCATTATATGTTTGAAAATTAGAGTTTCCATATCCAAAGTTAATAAAATGCTAGGAAGTCAGAAATAAGTGTTAAAAATCTAGACAAATGAAAGCAAAAAACATTTAAAAATGTTTAGTAGTACAAAAAATACAAAAAAAATTAAATTAGCATATTTAAACAATATTAATCTTCAAGAAATCTGTTGTAATTTGAAAGTTAGATTGATCTACCAGCTAGGAAACATTGTTTTCTATGAATGAATGTGTTAGGAAAAATCAAGAAAAATTTGAATAGTACTTATTTAAGATAATACGTATGATGCAAAATATGACTTCTCTTTAAATGAAAGTAAAAACAGCTTTTTAAATCTAGTTGTGTACTGATTTAATACTTGTTCCAAAAAGTAAAATATTGAGTAATAAGTTTCTCATTGGTAATTTTTTTTAAATGAAAACAAAATTGTTTGTTAAGTACCTGAGCAATGTACTTTTAAAAATTTAATATAATCTTCAATCAGTGCTTCCATGTCTCTCTTTCTCTTTTTTTATTTGTTATGCTTTGGTGCAAAACTGTTTTGATATATTTATGTATAGAAAATTACTTCTGAACACCTCAAACACAGTTTAAAAATGTCATACAGAAATCATAATGATATGAAATGAAAAACTTGTTGGTAGCAAACTTTTAGAAAAATAACTTATAATAAGCAAATAACAAATGTTTTCTAAGGCTATTAGAAGTAGTTAGTCATGAGTTGCTATTAGATCTTTATTGGTTGTAGAAATTAGATGTAATAGTTTAACATAATATATTTGTTACAGATTTAGGAAGGAATGGTGATCAATTAAAAAAATCCAGTTTAGTATTGCAATCCATTGGCCTAATGGGTCAAATTCCTATGATTCTTCAGGATCTAGTTCTTTGGATCACAACACCAACTTCAATATCTGCTGTAAGTTTGATTCTTTGATATAATATATGTTTTTTTGGTATATATATTTGTTTCATTTTATATTACTGAAAGTTTTAAGAATTAAAATTTTAAATATTATTATTATACCAACATACACATTTTAATTATACTAAATTTTCATTCACAGTTTTACTCAGAGATACATAATAATAGGTTTATAGCTATAGGTATTAAACTGTTTAATTTAACTGATGGGATGTTCTTTATAAACGTAAAACAGATTTGACTTGTAAAGGTAAGAATCAGTAAATGAAAAAGTAGTCATAGATAATTATATATATTAGCTCCAAAATTCACAAATTTGCAAGCAAAATATCAATAAAATAAAGTTTAAAATGTGCTATTATTTTTAGATTTTAAAACTTTCTTTTTTTACTGTTTATGAAAGTATCTTAATGTGGACAAATACTTTAAATTTATACTGAACCAACTATAAAGGAGGCTTAAGCTGTAATTGTCTGATTAAATTATAACTGTTTCTGGCTGATTTTAGTAACTGTATATTTAAGCAATATATTTCTCTACAACATTTTAAGTTTAGTAAAGACATTTATTAAAGTTTATTGTGTCATTAGGTCACATCTTTAGTTCAAGAAAGTAAGCTGGACTCCATTTGCCAAGATTCCGCTATGTTAGACAGACTATTTACAACTGACCAAAATGGATACAGTGCACTTTCAAGTTTTGTTAGATTCATGTGTGCACTAAGAAATAATGTGGAAAATGTATCTACCAATGAGAGTGCCCAAGGTGGTTGGGGAATAAAGGGATTTGTAGACCGTGTGGTGAGTAGATGCTTTATTTATGTAGTTTTCTTTCATCATCAATTTAATAGATCATATGCTAAAAGTTTACAACTGAAAATTTTGTCAGTTAGTCATATATATATACTGATTTGTCGATTGTAGTGCCAAATTTTTGGAAAGTATACGGCTGTGTATATTAATGTGTTTTAAAATATTTATCATATTTCAGTTTAGATTTAACATGGCCCATTAGTTAGTGTATCAGACTATGGATCTGAGAGCACATCGTTCATGTCCCACTATCGCAAAATAAGAATTATGTTGGGCACTTTGAGACTGTGGATTCTTTACTAGGGTGACAGTCAAATCCCACTATTTAGTCAAACAAGAGTTGACTGTGAGTGCTGTTGACTAGCTGCTTTCATTCTAGTCTATCAGTTCAAAATTAGAGACAGCTAGCACAGGTAGTCCTTGAGTAGCTTTGGAGGAATATCCAAAAACAAACATATTTTATTTTTTTTCAGAAATTCCTTTTAAAGAGTATAATCAAATTATATAAGACAAACAAAAAAATTGGTTTAATTTTATTAAAAATCAATGAATTGTTCTAAAATATTTGAAATTTTATTAAATTGAAATGAGATACTACCTTGCAATATGGAGCTAATAGTACTGTGGTCTGCAATTATTACACATCTCACTCCATAGTATGTATATTCCATCTTTTAAAAATATGCACATTCTTCTATAGTTTTAAATTGGAACATTAAATCTGGTTGAGACTGTTTGTCAATTCAGCCTTAGATGCTGCTTTCTTTAACACGATCCAGTCAGTAACACTAATTTTTTTTCCTTATTTACCTTTTGGTCTAAGTACAATTTTATTTTATTTTAATTCAAATCATACATTGATAGAGTAGTCTCCTACTCAGATTATCAGTCAGCAAAACTACTATTTTTCCTTATTCACCTTTTTGTCTAAATACAGTTTTATTTTATTTTAATTCAATTCATACATTGATAAGCCCCAGTGGCACAGCAGTATGTCTGTGGACTTACAATGCTAGAATCTGGGTTTTGATACACGTGGTGGGCATAGCACAGATAGCCCATTGGGTAGCTTTGTGCTTAATTACAAACAACCAACCATACATTCATAGAGTAGTCTCTCACTCAGATTATCAGTTAGCATTTAATTCATTATCTTGTAATAAATTGTTCATTTTTATTAAGTGACTGTTGTTCCACAAGATACAAGCAGAAACAGTTTGGATAAAAAGTAATAAATAATAAATTAATAACATGTGTAAATCGAAACAGAGGTTCTTATTACACACCTTCTATGTAAAGCATGTTAATAAAAACATTGTTGAGATTTTTATGCCTTGTTCAGTCTCCTTTCCAACTTTATCTTTGTGAAAGCCTTTCCTCTCCTGGAAATATCCCACTGGATTAATATTTTGTGAATATATTTTTATATTTATTTTCATTTCTTTTGTATTTATGTCCAAAGTCAAATTTCAGTTGCTTTAACTAAAATTTTCTATGTTTATGCAAATTTTAATACTATTTAAAAGAAGTTCAACATCGTTTTTTCTTAAACAATATTTTTGTTAAAATGCTTTGCATAAAATGTGTGTAATCGGAATCTCTGTATATTCTAACTTTTGAACGATTTTTCTTAACTCAGTTTTTATGTAACACAATATTAACTGGTAATGAAAGGTGCCTGCCTGAAATTTTGCACAAAATGAAATACATTTTTTTATTTGGACATGTTAATTTATCTATTATTACCTTTTATCCAGATTGCTTGTTTTTATATGATCTTCACATCATGTCTTGTCTTTATCATTCTACAAGCTGAAGTACCCATCCTTTTTCAGGTTATGAACTTAAAAAAATGTGGAGTGTGGATGCTATGATAAGTAACTTTCACACAATTTATTTATAACATAACGTATTATTATGATATTCATTATTACCTCACCAAAAGTTTTGTATAAGGTTTAAGAACTCAATATGTATATACTTAAAACATGGTATACACTGTGTAATGGTCAGGTGACTTTGTACAAAGAGGTAGTGGCCAAAGTAGTAGCAGTAGGAATGCTTTCTGTTACCCACTTTCAACATCCACCTCTTAATGTCCTTCCACAGTGTTTCACGTTATTAATTAATTGACAGTCATTGGCCTCAGAAGTGTCTTATGGGATGAAGTTGTGAGTTCACTGGTCAAAGTAGGAAGTGGGTATAATTCAAGATATGGTTCTTCATATCAGCGTTGTGGTGGCTGTTGCCATATAATTTTCATCTGACTTTATGTATTATTGCAATAGTGGTGGCCATTTGTTTTCACTACATTCCTCCATAGAGAGTGCTAGTGTGCTCTTTGAGATATACAAGACATTTATGTGCCTTCCCCCACACTGTGTGTATGCTGTGTTATTAATACGTGTGTGTGTTTTCTTATAGCAAACGATCCATCTGCTGTGTCCTCCGAGGGTAATCAAACCCCTGATTTTAGCATTGTAAATCTGAAGACTTACTGTTGTCCCACTGGGAGACAGAAAATTGTTCCAGACTCATCCCACAAAGTTTGGTGGAGATTGGACCAGCAACCTAAGAGTAGTTAGATAAGGAACAGACAGACACACAGATCCACAGTTTCCCATTATTGCAAAAATCAATTACCTGTTTACTAAGTTTGTTCACAAAACACCTTAGTACTAAAGTAGAAAATATTTTGCATGAAAATATTATCAACTAATTGCCTTTCTTTCTTTAGAATGCCACTTTGCATACTGCTGTGTTAAACGACTTGAATCCTCGGATGGTAGACACGTTTGACAACATGCAGCAGTTATCAGGAAGAATAAGAAAGTTAGATGAGTGGGTTGAGACTCAGCTAGGAACTCTGAGTAATCATACAGCATGGACAGACATGAAAAGTAAAATAACCAATCATATGACCACTGTGGTATCTCACAGGTGAGATTTGTTAGACCATAGAATAATGGCTTATTACTCTTTGGTTTTCTATGTTACAAGTGAAAGTTTTGTTTATTAATTTGTGTTTAAAAAGTAAATAGTGTATCTTTGGTATTGATTTTTTTATTATATTATTTTTGTTAATGTAGTGAAATTGTATGATTATCAGTATAAATCCCATGTACTAATAAATGATATACTGAGGGTTTTTTGTAATTTCACTTGTGGAGGTTACTTTTAGACAGGAAATCTATATAGTTAAGGGGAGGTGCCACTCTCTAAAGAATTGTAGTATTAGTGAGGCTGCAATGTAATTGGTTGCATAGACTATGAACTGAAGCTAATTGAAGTAAGTTTACTGATCAAAATCAACTTATGTTTTTACTTACTCATTTGAAATGTGGATAATCTTGTATATTAGTTTAAATCACTATTAGAGAACTTGACAAAGTGTAAGTTGACATATGTGTTTAGCAATATATACTGAGTGGTCACAAGCAAATAGACACCTAATTTTCTTCATTTAACTAATTTATGCTAACTAATTTGTGTTCACAGAGCACTATATAAATGAAAATGGTC